TATAGCCGCTTTAGAGGCCAAATTGGCCCAACTTAAAGAGCCTAAGGGCCAACCTAAAAGAGCCTAAGGGCCAAAATATATAGAGTTTGAGACCTTGCTCTCACTCAACTCGGACTCAAGAGTCCCGATATCCCGAGCTTGCATCAAATCAATTTAAACTTAGCTCGGGGATTAACAAAAACCTTAAGGGGTATTATATTGATCGATAAACACCTAAGGGTTTATTATATTCCGGGTCCAAACCAGTACTCAAACTGATCATTTTGAGTTGTGCAATTGAATTATCCACAAATAAGGACAAAATGAAATTCAACACAAGTCAAAATTGAGACAAAGAGGTCCTTTTGTATTTCCAAGAGATTATTACAAAAGATATTTACACGAGGGGTACTTGCACAAAAACACAAAATAAAGAAACTTAAATCTACTCCGGGGACTTCATCTTCGTCTCCTCCGCTCTCGGAGCCACTGGCTGAATCCTCGTCATCAGAAAGCAAAGCGGCATCCTCTTCTTCCAAAGTCTTTGCTTTTTCAATATCGGCTGAGAGATCGAAACCCCGAGCATGCACCTCCTCGAGGGTTTCTCTCCGGCACCGTCGCCTGGCATGATCAAGTGCACATGATAGCTTAACTTCGGCCGCAACGGATATCTCCTTTGCCCGGGTGTTAGCTGCTTCAGCACCGCTCGGTACGAAGATATAAATGCCTCTGCATCAGATTTGGCCTTGGCAAGCTCAACACCAGATTTAGCTTCAAGCTCCTCGATTTTGCATCTTTGAGCCAGGCTCTCCTCCTTCACACTTTGAAGATGGCGTTCGATTGAAGCCAGTTGCTCCCGAAGAGTATCCTTCTCCGAAGCGAGACGGTCCATGTCTTGCCTCCACCCTAGGGTCTCGGCCTCCTTCATCTTGAGCTCCTCTCGGAGCTGCTCCACCAGCTCGCCCTTTTGTTGAACCTGCAAAGTTGAAGCATTAGCCGACCAATCGGGTAAATGCATAACAAAACTCCGTAGGGTATGTTACCTTTTCGACAAGCTCGGTCCGCTCTTGACGAGCCTCCGCCAGTTCAGCTCGAAGGTCACTGACCTCCTCCTCTTTCTTGACATAGAGGGTTTTAAGACCGTCCTTCTCTTTCGATATTTTCTTAAACTCGGCCTCACATCGAGCAAGCTCAGCTCGAGACTTGGAGAATACTTCTTTATGGAGCGTCACAGCCTTCACAAAAAGGGAAAAGTTAGGCTCAGAACAACAAGGATAAGGCGCAGGCGTAATTTTAAAGGACAGAAACTTACTTGTTTGAAGAGCCGATGGGCCTCGTCGAAAATAAAAGAAGCATCTGGGTCGGGTCCATCTTCGATCCCTGCAAGGCACTCTCGAAAGATATCAAGCCCTTCGTGACTCGTCCCCACATCAGGAGTTCTCATGTTCCGAGCATCTCGGAATTGCCCCTTAGAGAACTCAGGACTAGGCGGCGACTCGTCCACATTAACTACCCCAAGTGATCCACTCGGGGCATTCTCCTCTCTTGAAGGACCTCGGGACCGGGCCCCTCGGTCTCACCCTCCAAATGACCTCCAGACGAGGCGCTCTTTTTCTGCCCGATGGCTCGGGGACTTTGCTCGAACTCCCCTCGAAGATTTCTTCGGTCCTGGCATGAACCACATCAGCCATCATCGGTTCGGCAGACTTCGAAGCGTCAGTGCTTCCTCTTTTACGAACTACCAACAGGCAGTCATCATCCTCCCTCTCTTCCTCCTCGTCCCTAAGGCGTTGGACCGCTCCTGGAGAAAGGGCCATAGTATCGGCCTTAGGCTTTCGAGCCTTGCTTTCTTCGACTTCGGGGAATTTGCAGGCGACCCCCTCTTCCTTTTCTTTTCTTTGGAAGGCTTTGGGATTTCCTCTTCACTGGGCAGGGGAGGCCGCATAGCAACGGCGTCTCCGAGGCCTGCATAAAGACAGAGTGAGTATTTCTCTGAGAAACACAAATAAACAAACAAGAGGACTCACCATGGTTTTTAACCTCCCATCGACCTTTGGCCAAATCACGCCAGCTGCGCTCCGTGTACGAAGAAGTAGAGACCAGCTTCCGGACCAACCTTCGAGGTCTGGGACCGCACCAGGAAACCAAGCAAGAGCTACACCATCGGAAAGGGGTTAGACCGAGAAAAAAGATGAATTCGAGAAAGAAAAGGAAAAACAGGGCATAAAGTCATTATCAACAAATGTGTTACGTTTCATATTCCATTCTTCGGGGAATGGTATCCTCTCAGCAGGTATCAGATCGGAAGTCCTGACTCGGACGAACCAGCTCATCCACCCTCGATCTTTGTCTTCATCGATGCTGGAGAAAAGAGATTTTGTGGATTGGCACTGCAGCTTTATTAGGCCGCCTCGATAGAGACAAGGACTGTATAGCCTGATCAGATGATCGAGGGTAAAAGGCATTCCCTCGACCTGTTTCGAAAAGAATCTGATCAGATTGACGATGCGCCAAAATAAAGGATATATTTTGTCGAGTGTCACTTGGTATTGTTGGCAAAAATCAAGAACAACTGGATCAATGGGACCCAGAGCTGGATCGGTAGGGCCCAGCGTGAATGGGTAGGTGTACACGCTTAAGTACCCTGCTTTGTGAGTAGTAATGTCCTCTTTAGGGGAAGGGATCACTATATCTTTATTCTCCCAGTTACATTCCTTTTTTTACCTGCTGGAGCTCATATTTGGTTATCAAACAAATGTATCGAGACATGGGCTCACATCGGCCTGGTGTCGATACAGGTTTCTCAATTTGGAAATCGGAGGTTGTTTCACACGGCGGGGGAATACACTCTTCGATACGAGGTGGCACTACCGTTTTACTTTTGGTCGGTCGCGATGATGGAGAGGCTTTTTCTTTTTGAGGAACAGATTTAGATGTTTTGGCCATTATGGTGTAGAAATTCAGAGAGAAAGGGTTGATGATGAAGTAAGGGCAAGTTAAAGAGAAGGATGAACTCAGAGAAGTTGAAGGAGCTAATAAGATTTTGAAAATGATTAGAGAAATAAAGTTTGCAAAAGTTGTGAAGTTGGCCTATTTATAGAAGTCACTTGAGCGTATTGGGGAAGCCAAATAGCCGACCGTCAGCTGCCTCCAATTAATGACTTTGGGAACTGCGCGAAAGTGACCTTTCAGTCACTTCAGCCGCTGACATCACAAGATTGGCATTGGGACCGAGGCATCGGAGCATTGAAGATCAAATCGTTTCTTATCGACCTACTCTAAGAAACGCGGGGACTATCTGTATACGGTCGAAATCAGGCACGCCCGATTTCCCAGGCTCGAGGGATCGCCTGCGGTCCGAGTTCAAGTAAGCTCGAGTTCGAGGTCGACAGACTAGACTCGAGCTCGAAGACGGAATGCAATGCCCTAAGATAGGAGTGCGAGGAATACCGAAGTTAAGTATGCTCGACCCCGAAATTGTACCGTTATGGATTTGTAACAGAATGAGCTAGATTCCTGCCACGTCCCCAAGATCTTGGCACAAATCCCATAATAGGATTGTACGATTCCGTACTAGGCGGTTAGACAGCTGTGCCAATAATATTCCTTACTGTAAATAGAAATGTACCTTATTTAGGGTTCCCCTATTATATAAAGGAGACCCCAATCATTTGTAACATCATCTAATCATTGGCAAAGAATATACTCTCTACTTTTCGCTTACTGTTCATCAGAATTGTCTTTTCTCTATACTGTTCTTATTTTATTATTCCTAGTTCGTCTCGAGGTCACTAAGCTTGCGGTCCCCACTGCTGAGTAACATTGGTTTGATTCGTTTATCTCTTTCATTTCTACTTCATATTTCTTGATTATTAATTAGTATTGAACTAAATCACATATCTTTAAAACCACAAATCAAATTTAATTGTTACTCGTATTTTCGAGATAAACACCCATAAGAAGCTTATTTATAAGGCTAAGAAGCTTATTTATAAGGCTACTTTCCCAATAAGCTTTAGATACTCCAACATAAACCTCATGGAAATCAGTGTTCCATGAGTGCAAATGAATAATTCCCCCCCCCCCGTCCCCNTACTTCTTAACAAGACACACTGGAAACAGGAAATCAAAATCTCATAAGAGAAATCCGATTTCATTATGCTGCTTTTCGTAACTCCTACACCAGACACAACAAATAGGATACTAGATTCCCACTGAAGAAGCCTAAGGTAGAATGGAGAGAAATTCACCGGTTAGGATAGTTGTAGTTGGGGTAGTGTCTCTTCAGCATGTCAACCAAATCCTGTGATTTCGCTTTATGAGCCATGCATATGTGTCTACCTTCAGCTTCAGGTTTCTCATAAACCAGCACCAGCGCTTCAGCTAAATCACGTACATCTATAATAAACCGGCTCTTGTTTTCCAGCTCTTCATATCCTTCTACATGAACGACACAAGAGTGAAGAGAGGGAGGTCAGTCACTTCAAGTGAAAATATGAGAGAACCATGACCACGAATCCATATACATGAAATCATAGAAACAACACATGAAGCCATCAATATAAATTACATACTCGATACGTTATTTGTATTGACGTCCCTTTTGCCTAGGGACGCTGCGTTTTATGCCCGCAGATCCTGATAGATAGGTTGAGAGTCCTCCAAATAGGCTATCAGCTCAGGGGAAGGTGTTGGTGCGCTCCATTGCTTCAGAGTTGCTTATTTGGTCAGTATGATTAGTACATGTATTGATTGGTACGGCGGGGCCTATCCCGACCTTTATGATATTTATGTACTCTTAGAGGCTNCCAAATAATCCAGGGGTAGCGCCAGGGTTCAGCTTAACTCAGTAGATTTGATTCAAACCTTATATTTATTTTAGGAAATTCATTAAATATGCACAAATTAGTAATTTAGAACCCAATAATTTAAAAGAATTGAAATTTTGAATCCATAAGCTTCAAATACTAGCTCCGCCTCTGCAATAACCCCAGGGAGAGCAAATAAAACAACAACAAACAACAACAACAACAACAACAACAACAACAACAACAACAACAACAACAACAACAACAACAAAATAGCACTCAAAAGGAGTAAAATATAACCTCCTCAATCCAGATTATATTATTACATATAGATACTAGTTCGCAAGAGTATTATCTTGAAAGACAGGCAGGGCAAGTACCACAAAGAATATTACAATAAGTAAAAGGTGGACTTGATATTTTCTCTTCTTTAATCAAGAATGCCCGCTTGTTTATAACTTTCAACAGCATCGATTAGAGTTTCCTCCAGTGGCCTACATTTCCAACCCAACTTCTGCAGTTTCTCTGTGCTATAACTTCCTTCCTCCATCACATCGGTAAAGCTGTAAAATAAACAGTATTTTTAGGACAGCAGATTCAGATAAATGAGGAACCTCTATGTAGAAGGAAAACAAGAACACTTATCAACAGAATCAATCAAATAGACCAAATTCATTCGCATTTTGTTTGTTACTTCTTAACAAGACACACTGGAAACAGGAAATCAAAATCTCATAAGAGAAATCCGATTTCATTATGCTGCTTTTTCGTAACTCCTACACCAGACACAACAAATAGGATACTAGATTCCCACTGAAGAAGCCTAAGGTAGAATGGAGAGAAATTCACCGGTTAGGATAGTTGTAGTTGGGGTAGTGTCTCTTCAGCATGTCAACCAAATCCTGTGATTTCGCTTTATGAGCCATGCATATGTGTCTACCTTCAGCTTCAGGTTTCTCATAAACCAGCACCAGCGCTTCAGCTAAATCACGTACATCTATAATAAACCGGCTCTTGTTTTCCAGCTCTTCATATCCTTCTACATGAACGACACAAGAGTGAAGAGAGGGAGGTCAGTCACTTCAAGTGAAAATATGAGAGAACCATGACCACGAATCCATATACATGAAATCATAGAAACAACACATGAAGCCATCAATATAAGAAAATGCAAAGCGTTACAAAACTAAGCGAACAGAATTTTTAAGCGTTTGTGTTCCCATTAGGTGGTCAATCTCGAGGGGAATGGAGATACAGCAAATCTTGTTAATGTTACAACAGAAAAAGTAGGTATAGAGGGGTTGCGATATATCCCTATAGGTGGAAGTTTGTATGTTTCAGAAAATGATCTTATATTCCAAGATTCTCAATCAGTTCGCCATAATTTCCATGATTATTAGGTCAATTCATTTGCTTACAAGGAAATTAACATTTACTATCATTAAACACAACGTTTAGTAGCTATTGGTGCATAGTAGCTGGGATGTCTTTTATCTAACCAAGCAATATACTCGGGACTTCATGGGTAAAGCAATGCTTAAACCATTAGAGCAGAAGGATGAGAACATAGCACCCAAGCAATGTTTGTAACCAAGACTATATCATGACCAACCGGCCTACTAAACATTATCAATTGACAAATACAGCATGTAACTTTACTTATTCTCTCATATTTCTTTATTTCTTATTCTATACATAATAAAAAAATGACTTGTGCAACATACGTGAAGGGCAAATGGAGAAGTGACACAATTTATCTATCATATTAGATAATTATGCAAAAATAAATTGGTCAAAGGGAGGATACGGGATCCAAATTTGGTAATTGAAGCACGAAAGGCTCCCAGCAGTTGTCCAAAACATCAGAGGGTATAAGTTGAATGCATACATAAGGAAGAACTCATTAATTAGTACGCTGAATTGAAAATAACTAGTTTCTCTAAATGTTATGGACAAAAACTCCTAGCCACCATCAACCAACACATTAAGCATACAAACCTACAATAAACCTACTCAGAGTCTCATAAATCTCATGCCGAGGTAGATCATAGATGTGCCACAGCTGCAAAGAAATTTGGCTAGCCCATGTACATGGAGAAATAATACTATAGAAACCTCCACTTGGAGCTTAGATAATATGCCTCAAAGATGGTAAGCACTTTCTTTGCTTTCAATAATCTCTTGCTCAGAGTCAAGCATGAAGTATTTGGGAGAACCAAAATACGACAAGACTTATTATAGTTGCACATTTAAATCATTCTGGCATTTTAAGCATTAGCAAAGAATTTGACAAATACTGCGTACTAAATGCATGCCCATATTCAGAAGAACAAATTTAAAAAGGATTTTGGGAAAGTGAATTCTGATTATTCAGCAGTGAGCTATTCATGCAACCAGAGATGTAGAAATAGAAAAAATAATGCAGATACATCCACACTCTAAGGTATAAACTACGCCTTGTTGGTACCTTTCAGCAGCTTAATGAGAATTAAACTACTGGCATTTGTTGTCTTCTGCAACATTGGTCCCCATACAATTGTTGGGAGCACGGTTACAAGATCAAGTCCACTTTGTTTTGCATATGACCAAGCTTCTGTCTCAGCCATCGTTTTGGAACAACTATACCAGTTCTGCATGAAGGTGGAACCAAAAAATTCAATCAGATAGGGAACAGCTCTAGCAAAATAAGCATTTAAGATTCAAATCTGAAATTACCTTTGAAAATCTAAGCAAATAAGACAGGAAACTGCCTAGCTAAATAAGCATTCAAGATTCAAATCATAAATTACTTTACCAACACTAAATATGGTATGTAAGAAGTATGTTGATTATTACCGATCACAAAAGAAATATGTGATTATTAACTAAAAATCTTATAATGACCACAAAAAAACAAATTCGGAAACTTGTACTCAGTAAAAGAAGTTACATTAGTTGCTTTGCAGTATTCACTGTCCGACCAACAAGTCTCGTCTTTCACTTGGTCCTTTGGCCAGTTGGGGTTATAGTCAAGAGCAGAATTAGAAGATACATAAACAACCCTCTTGATGTTTGCTTCAGAACATGCCTTCAGAACATTAAGTGTGCCTTTTACTGCAGGCTCAACAATTTCTACCTGCAACAAAGCCACCGAACATATCAAGAAGATATTTTTTTGTGTGTGTAGAACTAGCACAAAATGGGAATACAAAAGCAATCTAGAAATTGCAGATTTTTTAATCCCAGTACAAGGTATCCTGGACTGGACGGACCTAATTTTCAAATGTCTTAGGCTCCCAGATCGTGGAGCTCCTAAACAGTGTCTCTTATCATAATACTACCATTAATCACCCTCAGAAAACTTATTTTGATAGTACAATAGTGTAAATCCCAACATAAATTCACTAATCACCATCTTGTTTTTTTTTTTCATTCTGTAGAAATATACCTCTTACTCTAAGCACTTTCAACAACTAATAACATGTATTAAAGATAGGCTACTGCTTGTGAAGATTCCACCGATATCTGGAGATCTACAAAGTGAAACTAGAGAATGTGATTGATATCAACAAAGTGAATAAGTTTACATGTTTAGAGAAGCTAGTTTTCTTCCATATGTGGACAGAAATAAAGAAATTTAACAGGTAATAGCAAATTCATAAATACCTCAGGATTTGGTACAGAGGATGAAGGAACAGGACTAGCAAGATGAAAGACACCATTACATCCTTTGATGGCTGCAGCAAGCGAGTCGTAATCTAGCAACTCTGCTTTGAAAAGCTTTAGATTCTCAGCAGCTTTGTCAAGATTCATCAAATGAGAATACTCCTCACCTGCAAATTCATTTACAATAAAGCCTCTTCAGTAATATTTACCTACTTAGAATAAGATTTAGATTTTACTACTCCCTCTGTCCCAATTTATATGGTCGAATTTTGAGAATCAAACTTCTTAATTTTGACCCTAAATTTGGACATATAATCGTTAAATTTTTTGAAACAAAATTTATATATTTAAAAGCTACTTAATATAAGTTACAATTCAAAATATGTAAAAGGCATATGAAAAAATCGCAATCAAAGAGAAACTGGACTCAACTCCGCCACATAGATTAGGACGGAGAGAGTACTACTTACAATCTCTAACAGTGCCATGAACAGTGTAATCCTTAGAAAGGAGAAGCTTCACTAGCGACGTAGCAATAAATCCAGCTGCTCCTGTTACGCACACTGTACACTTCTCACCCGTCAACGCCATTGTTCTGTTATTAATTTTTCTTCTATGTGGGAGCAAATGAAGTTGTTGTAGTGTTTTTGCTTTTGCTTTTCCTGTTCTCACTCTCACTTTTATCTATTATAAACTCCGTTTGGATCACAGTTACCCATCGTTTTATAATGTATCGTATTGTACTGTATTCTATTGTATCGTATCGTTTTATGAATACAATATTTGAATAGATTGTATTGTTCGTTCTTGTTAAATAATATTTTGCTGTTTTGTTTGACTGTATCGTACTGTAATAAGTTTACTACAATACCCTCAATTATTTTAAATATTTAATTTATCAAAAATTACACATAAAAATTATTTAAGAAAAGCACTTTCTACTAACTAATCACTAATTATGTCTTATATATAAATTAAGCAATTAAATTCATGCAAATTCTATCGAAATTAGTTGAACAAGTTAATAATATTAAAAATAATAATAAGTACACTATATTTATAATTAGATCATAATAATAAAAATTTTAAAAAAAATATTAAGTAGACTCCATTCAGACAAAAGTAAAACAAAACATTTACCTGAAGAGTATGGAGAAGCGGCAGAAGAACAAAATGAGTTTTTCACGTATGTAGGTTATTATATACTAGGTTATATTTGGGATGTCGTCTTGAGAATTTATATCGGTTATTAGACTTCATATAGAATTCTATTACAAAATTATGTAAGAAAGAGACTTTGCTATTATTTAAAATAAAAAGTTAAAGGGTAAAATAGAATTATAAAGTAATAAGTTAGGGCATAATTAGAAAGAAAAATAGGAAACGATCCCACCACACCAAATCGGTTGTTTTAAAAAATAGGACTTTCCATTGTTCCGGAACAATGGATTTAACAATACAATACAATCAATTTTAACTAAACAATCAAAACAAATATTGTTTGGTGAAAACAATACAATACGATACAATAGGTAACAACCATCCAAACAAGCTGTAAATCATTTGTCTTCAACAAAAGAAAAAGCATTACGGACCATGCACACATTAATTTACTGTTTTCCGACGGCTAACACAGTCCTTTTGCATTGTGTAGATCTAAAACCATTAAAATATGATTCCACTTAAACTTTTAGCGTTCAGAGTTGGTACAAAAATTTTTCTGTCGTTTATACAGGTAAGTTTTAAATTTCACTATTTGCAACGTCATGCTTCACCAGATGATAAATCTTACACTCTATTTGGATTATTATTCCCCATCGTTTTATAATGTATTGTATTGTATTGTATCGTATTGTACCGTATCGTTTTATGAATACAATGTTTGGATAGATTGTATTGTTTGTTATTGTTAAATAATATTTTGTTGTTTGGTTTGACTGTATCGTACTGTACTGTAACTGATAAGTTTACTAAAATACCCTCAATTATTTAAATATTAAATTTATCAAAAATTATGCATAAAAATAATTTTTAAAAACAAAATAGAAGAAGGCAAAACACAATAAGAAAGAAGAACAAAGGAGCGAGACAGAAGAAAGCAAAACAAAGGAGCACAACTAATTAGAATTGAGTTACAAGCAAATTAGGAGAAAAATAAAACAGAAGGCAGCAAAACACCTTTAACATTGGTCTGGAAAAAAACAAAGTAGGTTATAAGTTGGAGATTTGGAGTTAAAATAGAAAAAAGATAAAGGGTAAAATAGAATTGTGGAGTAATAAGTTAGGGCATAATTGGAAAGAAAAATAGGAAACAATCCCACCACACCAAATCGGTTGTTTCAAAAAGGGGGACTTTTTATTGTTCCGGAACAATGAATTTAACAATACAATACAACAAATTTTAATGAAACATCAAAACAAATATTGTTGTGGGATAACAATACGATACGATACAACGAGGAACAACCATCCAAACAAGCTGTTAAAATGATTATTTTTTGTCATTTTGATATGAAAAAGATTTGCAACTTGTAATAAATAAAATTAGTTGGTGTGACAATTTTATGACTATTTTTCATAAGAACAAAATAAAAAGTTTTAAATTAAATTTCTCACTTATAAATAAGCGACATTCTTCTTGAAACAAATAAAAAGAAAAATAACGTGAGTTGCAACTACGTTAAAATAAAGAGAGAGTGACTTACAACTAAAATTTAAAAAGCTTAATTTTTCCATCATACTTATTAGGTTACCAAAATCATAACTACACGTAAATATTCATAAAATGTGAAACTAGAAACATAGACAAGTCAAAAATTGCTACAACTTAAAACTTGAGATATACTGGTGATATAAATTATTTATAATATATATAAATAAAATCCAAATTCAAAACGCTTCGATTCTCCTTTAATTGGTTGAATCACTGCTCACAATATTCACCCTCGGATTATGGAAAGAGAATGGCAAAGTCAGAATTACAAGGATCAAAACAACGCCTACATAATATCACCAATAAAGTGTTTGGTTAAATTTTGAATCTTCGGATATGCCAGTGAACTATGCGAATTAGGACAGATATGCCCGTCGTTGATAGTTTGGTACAGATATGTCCAATCCATCCAATACTTGCTCATCCATGCCCTTAGTTTAACTGAACCACTATTTTGTCTTTCTTAAATAATTAATAACCGGACCCAACTAAAATCTGCTGACTCGATCCGTTAGGACCCGACCCACCCTTATTTCAAAGATATTTTTTGATATATTATTTTGTTTGATTGAGAAATTGTGTATTTATTTATTTGAGTAATTTGATAATCGATTTCTTTTTTGTTATACATCATTTTGGAAAGTAATCCTACTAAAAGTAGTAATTGATATTTATTTATTATTCTAATAATATAATATTTGAATTAGGTTATGCTTTCTTCAAGCATTTTACCATCTATTTTTATTTTTCTCAGTGGTGCTTGTTATGAAATAATTAATTAATAAAAATAAAAAAGAAGCACCACTATTTAAAAAATTTATTAATTATTTCATAAATAAATTTGTAATGGAGAAATAATCCAATAAACTAATATTCAATCATATAATGATCACTTATCTAAACAAAAAAACGGATCCATCAAGTTAAGTTATAGTGAACATGGAGTTATTCGTATTTGTATTGGTGAAAAATACAAATAGACTGTGAGAAAAATAACGATAGATGGTAAAATGATTGAAGAAAGCACAAACTAATTCGAATATTATATTATTAAAATAATAAACAAATATCAATTACTACTTTAGTACGATTACTTCCCGAAATGATGTATAACAAAAACAAATCGATTATCAAATTACTCAAATAAATAAATATCATTATCACACAATTTCCCAATCAAACAAAAATAATATATCAAAAAATATCTTTGGAATAAGGGTGGGTCGGTCATAACGGATCGGGTCGGCAGATTTTGGTTGGGTCCGGTTATTAATTACTTAAGAAAGACAAAATAGTGGTTCCGTTAAACTAAGGGCATGAATGAGCAAGTATTGGACGGATTAGGCATATCTGTGCCAAACTATTAACGACGGGCATATCTGTCCTAATTCGCATAGTTCACTAGCATACATGGCCCTTTTCCGTTGAATCTTTCATACTTAACATAAAATTCAGCATTACACAAAACATGGTTTGACTGTCATTTTTGTTGCCCACATAATTAAATAATACTTGTATGTGCTATGCAGGAATCTATGTATTATTTTATTATGCTGTATCAAAAATGCAGAGTAACAACCACAAGCTATTACAATAAGCAAAAAGTGATCTTGAGATGTTCTCTTCTTCATTCCAGAAAGCCCCCTTGTTTGTAACTTTCAACTGAATCAATTAGAGTTTCCTCCAGTGGCCTATATTGCCAACCCAACTTCTGCAGTTTCTCTGAACTATAACTTCCTTCCTCCATCAAATCAGTAAAGCTGTAAAATAAACAGTACAATTCAGGACAACAGATTTAATTGAGGAACTTCTATGCACAAGTGTAACAGTACACCCAACTAGTGACATGCCCGCTTTGAACCTAGGGTTGCACGGCCTTAAAACGCGTCGCGTCACTAATGCCTAAGGGTTGTTTCCTTATATATCCAGCATCTCGCCGGTTAAGACGTTTTAAAGTCGTGCGGGCTTAGGCCCAAAACAGACAAGTGAGGAACTTCTATGCAGAAGGACAAGAAGACTACTTATCAATAGACTCAATCAAATAGACCAAATTCATCATGCACTTTTTCCTTTGTAACTTCTTAACCAAACGCATCACGCACTGGAAAAAGGAATCACAATCCCATAAGAGAAGTCGATTTCGTTACGCCGCTTTTTTGTAACTCTTAAACCAGACACAGGAAATAGGACACTAGATTCCGATAAAGAAGCCTAAGGTAGAATTGGAGAGAAATTCACCATTTAGGATAGTTGTAGTTGGGGTAGTGTCTCTTCAGCATGTCAACCAAATCCTGTGATTTCACTTTATGAGCCGTGCATATGTATCTACCTTCAGCTTCAGGTCTCTCATATACCAGCACCAGAGCTTCAGCTAAATCACGTACATCTATTATAAATCGGCTCTTGTTTTCCAGCTCTTCATATCCTTCTATATGAATGACACAAGAGCGTAGGCAGGGAGAGGTCAGTCACTTCAAGTGAAAAAATGAAAGAACCATGACCATGAATCCATATACATGAAAACACAGAAACAACACATGAAGCCATTAACATAAGAAAATGCAAAGCAACTCAGATGATACAAAAGCGGATAGACTTTTGTAACCGAGACTAATGTTCTCTTTTATAACCAAGAAATTCTAGAGGGCTAGTGGCACACAGTTCAAAACTTGATCGATGATGCGCCTGCCTCTCTACCCTTTTCCACTTAAATAGTAGGCTCTTGTCTGCAGCAGGCTCGAACTAATGACATGTGTCTAACCCAAACTCTGCTCTTACTCCTAGACCAAAGTCCTGGGAGCTACATAGAAATTGACATGCATTAACATTAAACACAATGCTTAGTAGCCCTTGGTGCATAGTAGCTGGAGGACTTTTATCTAAACAGGCAATACACTCGAGAATTCATAGCTAAAGCCATGCTTGAAACACTAGAGTAGAAGGATGATAAAGCACCTGAGGATGCTTGTA